TTGTATTTCAATCAAAAGCGATGATTTTTACAGGTTAGTATGGAAGAGTATTCGGGTAAATAAGAACTTAGGTGAAAGGGACTTTTGGGACATACGATAGTTCAGTTTTATCTATAGAGAGAAGATCAATGTTCGGTTGATTTATATGCAAATAGGATGATGATATAATTTTTGATTTGATTAATTAGGAACACATGGAAAACAATTGTATCCTCTTGGAAGATATTTTTCAAATAAAAGATCTGAATATTGATACTCCAGAAAAAGAAACTCAAAGACAGAGAAAGAAGAAGTATTTTCAACATGTTTCAAGGCTATTCTGTGAATCTGAATTATTCAAGATGGCTTTAATACTTGATGTTAACACCCAAGTTTATCCAATGTCTATTGGAGACAAATTCCGTTTCTTATTATGTACTACTCTTTATGAGGATGGAACATCTGATACAGGTGAATACGATCCGAATATCGAAGCAAAACGTTCACGAGCTGATCAATTTGATTATGTTATGTATGGACAAGTATATCGAATTGAAGATGATCGAAGAACGACAGTTGTTTCCCATTCTACCCATGTAGAAGCAAATAATACTGGGCCAATCCTTGATGATAATGATGATGATGACGCTACAACGAATAGTACGACTTTGTGCGTATATGTTTCCTTTGGAGGTCTTCTTATGCGTTTGCAAGCCAATGCAGATCACTTACAACACTTTCAGATGAGCTCAAATATCTACTTGATGATGAAAAAAGTAGCTTTTTGATTCGTTAGTTCATACTCATGCTACATTTTGAATTTTTACGCATCAATTGTAAAACATACATATTGTTTAATTGAATAAATCAGATGCAATGCACGATTATACTTAGAGATATACAAAAGTAGTATCAGTGATGCTTTAATTCTTTGCAACAAATTTCAAGAAACTTTCTTTCCATATAGTCTAACAGCGAAAAATGCTCTTTTTTCTATACTACCGAATTATATTTGGACTACGATCATAACAATAAAATTGGGTGAAGGCGTGGTTTAAACAAGAAACACCCTTCTAACTTTTATCATCATTCATAATTTTTGTATGATAGAAAGCATTGTTTGTTAATTATTAACTAAATAACTTTTCGAATAAAAAATTAATAATAATTTCTAAGTTTATTTTCTAATAGAAATCTTATAGAATAATGTTACCATACTAAACATTTATTTATTCGACTATTTCCTTGACCTGGTTTACATCCAAATACTTGATCGAATTCAACTAAATTTGATATTGAACCAATGACTCTATTAAAAAAGACTAGTTTTAATAAAATAAAAACTAATTTTATAATAAGAATCAACCTGAATTCACCAGGTGAATGTACATTAATCAATAAATCATTTTTTTCAGATTGATCTTTGGATTTTGAACACCATATTTTACCAAAATTAAGAAAGAACAATTGTTCAGCTGAATATTTAGCTAAACCTGGTAATTTTTTATCAATATTTGGATTAGTTTGAGCCCATTTTTCATAAGCCTTTAAAGCATAAAAATTAAATTTAGAATCATGAATAATATTACATACTAAAAACGCCTCTTTCAATCCACCATTATCAGCAATATTTTCGTCTTGAGTTTGCTCACCATTGATCTAAATAATAAAAATAATCTATTTTTTGAATAATTTACGATATAAATCACAACCTTCATATCGATTTGAGCTACTGTATAATTATTATATTGTTCAATAACACATTTCTTTTGTTCATTAAATGCATTAATTGTTTCATTAGTCCACCAAGGAATTCTATTTCCATCTTTATCAAATTGTCGACCAATACTATCAAATCCATGTGTAAATTCATGTCCTATAACCATTCCAATACCTAGATTATATATTTATTTTTTTGCCTTTGCTCTAATAGAATAAATTAAAACTTACCACCATAATTCAAATATCTAAAATAAAAAAAAAAGAATTTTTAAAATATAAAAAGAATTTCATACTTGGGTGCGTCTTTATTGAAAAATGGTGATCGAAGAATGGCAGCCGTGAGAGCTGAAAATAAAAAAACATCATAAAAAACCCTCCGTCCTTGAAATAGTTCCATCAAACAAGTACTGATAAAAATCGATCATATAAAACCACTTAAAGATCTCAATGAATTATTTTGTTTTGTCTTACTTATATCATTGAACCATGGACGATAGTTTGCATTGACATCAGTTGGATTGAGATATGTCCAAGCTTTTCGATTAATGGGTTCACGTAATATTTGAAATTTATGTTTTGCAGCTAGTCGAATTATAGTGAAGACATTTTGTATATAAGATGAATTAAAATTATACTATAATTCGAATAAAGATAAAAATATTTTTTTTTCTCTATTATATACCTCTTCATATATTTTTTCAAGATCCGTTATATTATCACTATCTAAACCATCAGGATAACCAATTCGTTGACTCATTACTCGAATCTATATTATAAATGAAAGAATTGTTTTTTTTTTCATTAGATGAATTACACTTACTTTCTCTATAGCTACATTTTTTGAAATAGAATCCATCCATACCGATTGATTAATCATATCAGTAAAAATATTTCGAATATATTGAATCATTTCAGTTGACTATGCAAGAAAGAAGAAAAATAAATTATTTTATTAATTAAAAACAATTTCATTACTTCTTTATGAGCAGTTTTATCAAAATGTTTCCCTATATAAAGTTTCGATACAGCAAGACCCATATTTCTAGTAACAAAAGTAACACATTTTATTGAACGTGGTTTTTGACTGGTAATGCCGTCATATGTTTTTTTAAATTCTTGTTTAATATTTCGAAATTTTTTAGGCATAGATTCTATCATATTCATCATAAATCGCCATATTAAATAATTTTGTATAGTACGCGATGATTGTTGATCAATAATCATTGAAACATTACGTAACATTGCCAATTCAGTCAATGTAACAATATCTGTATCGATAAGACTTACATTTCCAAAACGATAAATACGTTGAAGATAATCAGTAAAATTAAACTATATAAATACATAAAAGAGAAATATATATATATATGCAAGATCTTACAGTTGTATTCATTGTAGAAGAGAGATTACTAAAATTTGTACGATCTTGTATTTGATTATATTGTTCAGCTGGTGTCCAGAAATACTATAGAACACAAATTCATTCAAAAAAAAATATATGTCTGAATATAAAAATCGGATATACTTGAGAAATTGTTTTTTCAAATTCAAATATATCATTAATATCATTATCAATTATTGATGTATCATTAGTCAATGCTAAAGCAATATTTTTCATATATTGTCGATAGGCTTGTGTAATTCCAGTTTCATTAATATAATAACTACGATCTGATAAACCAAGACTACCTTGACCCATCTAAAATATATAATTAATAATAGATATTAACAGAAAATTTTCATAATCTACTAACATAAATACAATAACTTGATGAATTTTTTTCATCAGGATAAGTTCCGACATAATACAATGTAAATACGTTATATTGACCAAGTTTAGTTAATAAATTAGTAAGATCAAATGTAGATGAATCCCATGTTGATCCGTGTAAAATAGGCCAACCACCTAATTCTGTATTGATAAATGAAAGTATTACATCAATGCCTTCTTCTTCAATAGCTTCTTCATTGATACATGAAGAAAATAATCTTCGAGCATTACCAATTGCATTAGGTTCTATAGTTTCATTTGATATTGGTGATGAAAGAAGATCTATAAAAAAATCGATGAATAGAATAACAAAAAAATAATGTTTAATAGTTCTTACCAATAATATCATTATTTACTTCAAGTTGCATTATTTCAAATGTATTATGAGAATTCGCTAGAAATTAAATATATGGAAATAATTTGAGGATTTTAAATCATATATATCATACCATCTTCTGGTATTTTGGCATTTTTAATCCAATTCCCACATGAAAATTGATAAAAATTTTCACATGGATCAACACTTTCATCGATACTTTCAAGAAAATAATTGGCTAAAAGAGAAGAAGAAGAATAATGAATGTAATATGAAAAGATATATTTACCTGCTTTGATACAATATGGACTTAAACATAAATCATTTGTATCATTAACTGGAATTTTCACTATTGTATATTTATTCAAATTTTTTTGATAAAAATTATTTTCTAATATTTACCTGCTGTTGTTGAATACCTGATTGTTTTATTTTTTTCATGACCAAATAATATCGCTAGTATAATTACAACAATGAGAAAAAGACCGGCGATAATACCAAAGAGTATCGATAATAGTATTGGAAGTCGCTTTTGTTTCGATGATGGTCTAATAATATTAATAGAATGATATGTTACTTTTTAAAATGATTTGCAATTGAACCTACTGATTAAAGCTAGTCGTACGTATTATACTTTCTGTTGATGTATTGATCATAACGATTGTTTTATTCTAATCTCTATTTAACAATAATCAATTATAGAAATGTTATTTAATATAATATATCGTTTGGCTTTATGCTTGTTTGTGAATGAGAGAAAAAAAGCACGTTTACATGTTTTTATATAATTGAAATTGATTGAGAGTTTATTATCTATTTTAAACTTTTGCTCTTGTAAATATCATTCATATTTATTACGTGATCTTTCATAATTGCATGTTATTCTCACATGATACTTGTGTATGCAAACAATATATAGGAACTTATAAAATTAAAAATTAACTAATTATTTTTTTCTCTCCAAAATTACACAAAAAACGATCAATAGATTTCAAAATGATAGATATAAAAGTATTATGTCGGTTATAAATTAAATTTTGAGGTATCTGGTAGATTTACTTGATCTACTCTGTTATAGAAATTATATGATTACTAGAGAGAAATATCTGTTTTTTTTCTTGAATTAATATTGATAGATTAATACGATAATATTATTTCAATATCTCTGATTCATGAATATTTTTATAGAATTATATTTGGAATGTATCTTCGAGAGAGTTTTTATGTAAGCTCAGTTTCAGATTGATATCCTAAACTGTGATCATACTCTCAGAGTAATACTGCTCATACATAGATCATATTGCTTTGAATAAACTGATTAATACCATCAAGTTTTTTAAATATAATGATTCTTCTTTGTCGTTGAAAATATTCCATTAAAAATTCGATAAATCTGTGGTACAAATCAATATATATCAAAATAGTTGATTATTTTAACCTTTAAGTTCTATTTGTATATAAAATCTACTAATCTACTTAAATCATAGCATGAAAGAATGAAAAAAAATTATCAATGACTATATCCTTAACCTTCGGCTTATCAATTGTTTTCGTTCTAAGTAGATTTTTTCGCGTTTCTTCCGGCTTATACAATATTTTCGCCACGATGCGGTAGTTTTTTTCAAGCTACTAATTTTAATCATGTGTGAAAATAATCATATGATAAGATATAAGTTTTATTTTACTAACAACACAAACATTTTCATTGCGAGAATTATATTGATATATATATCCGCTATTGTAAAGATATAAGTTTAATTAATAGAACATTTCCTATTGCTATTAAATTTGTATTATAAACGCTAAAATATTTGCTTATGACTTCTAAAATATAATGAGTTAATCTTATAAATAGTAAATGAAAAAATATATTGCATAGCTATTTATAGAACAAATAGGATAACAAAAAGAGAAATAACTAATGTCAAATGTAAAATAGTAACTAATTGCCCCCATAACGGATGATCGTCTGGAAATTCATTTTTTAAAAATGGTATTAGTACTAAGTGATTTGGATTTTTGCAAAAGAAATAATTCCATACAATTGCCATATTATATGTAATAATTATTGACCATGTAAAACTAAATATTAAATAGGATTTAACTATGTCTAAATGCCATACATAAAAAACCAATGCTTGTTGAACAAAGAAGAATACTATAATCGAAGAATTCGTACGAGCCTGTAAATAAAGATCAATAAAATATTTTAGGTTATAAAGTCCAACTGAAAATGAGTCACATTTAAGAGAAAAGTATTATATTTAGTATTATTTGTAATATGATATATACAAAAGAAAATTAAACAAACCTCATATAATAAATGAAAAAAACGCTTCGCACGAAGTATTTCTGATCTAGTTCTTGTCCTTAAAAACAACCACCAAACATCCATTCTAACAGAAGTTAAATATATATGTAACATAAACATTGTTTGAGCATGTAATATTGCAATTAATTTACAATCATTATTATGTTCAATAATTTCAAATCCAAGTGAAATCATTGCAATCAATAAAACAAAATATAATCGATATTTACCCGAACTACATATCACAATAGAACATAAAGCAATTAATTCGAATATACGATCCAATGCTAACTGCTTACGAATAATAGCTATTATAAGTAATATTAGTGAACCAACTATACCAGGAAACCAACGAGTACGATTACGTAATTCATTAATTAACTGAAGACTTTGAATATTTTCATGTGTATGTTGAACAGGATAAAAATAAAATTCTTTATAAACAGTAAATAATGTAAAAGACCAAAAATGAATAAAATCAAACATTGTGTATTTGTTTTTCTCTTAAAATAATTAATGATTGATCGAAGTCCGATAGATTTGAAACATTTTGTGAAAAAAGAATAATTGAACTACAAAGAAGAAAAAAATAGTTTCATACAATATTAAAAATAAAATAGGAGTGAAAGAGAAGTGTAATGAATATTTTTATGAAAAATGTAAATAACGCTTATTCTCTTATTTATCAATATTAATCATAGTAAAATAAAACTAATTTCTAATACAAAAACAACTGACACATTGAGAAAGAAAAAGAAACGAAATATATATATATATATTAATATAATCAACTACAGTTTATTTATTTCTATGTTATGTATGAGTCTTAATTCTAACTGGCGAACTGAATATTTAACACGATTAAAAAAGATGTTTTTACTTACCAATGAAAGGAATACAAAACAAAGTAACAGAGTATCAAGGTCATAGAAGAATAAATAGATATTTAAGTTTTATTTCAACTTTATTCTTATTCAGTCCACGTTTATCGTTACTCATGAAAATCTCAACTAACTGATCTACTTTTCTCATAAAAATACTACTTTAATAAATATATTCTAGTTGTATTTATACGCATTCATTTGACGTAGTTAAAAGAGTAAAACAAGATGTTATGCTTACTTTTACATTGGTTCTCTCTTTCTTCTTGTTCTTTTTGTCTGACAAACAAAGTATGTGTAAATATGAGAATATAATTTATGCTCGTTCTTATCAATTTATCATCCATTTTTTTCTTCTTTTAAGTAACATAAAAGAAAAAAAACCATAGTATGTTTATTAACCTTTGTACCTCGCTTTATATACATCTATTGTTTGTTCGTTGTATTTCAGACAATGAAAACATGTCATCGGATAATGATCATTAGCAGAGAAATAGATTACAATGTAAGGTTTATTTTTTGATGATTTAACTAATAGACGTGTTTTATTTGCAGTTTTTGATGTCGATAATATAATTCATCTTATTCAACACGTGGTTTATCCTAATATTAACTATATACTATTTCCATGGAATGTATATTAGATAGTCCTTCGGGGTAATTCGGATTACTCTAGCTATTTTAGCTGAAGTCAACTTATGAAATTTCTACCGCCTTAACGATACAGATTCAACAAGTACATCTTAATACAAAGTTGTTCTTCTTATTTTTCTCTATCTTTACATATAAAATAGTATGATATTTAACGTGATTAATCTAGTATCTTTCTAATGCATTGCATCATCGATAAAAAGCGATCTTTAATGATATATTTCAGACCTTAATTGGAAACTAGGAAAGAAAAAGTTTGATGTTTCAAATGCAGAAATGCATGGGCTACAGAATAGTATAAAAAATAAAAATATCAAAGAATAGTTTTATGTAATTTTGCTGTCATTAATCATTGTATGAACAGACTGTTTCCATTGAATCGTTCTTGTGAAGAGTTTTGGCAATAGAAAAAAAAGATTTTGTAAATAGTCATTTCTTAAATTATATTTATGAATTTTGTGTTGATAAAAATATGTTAAGTTCGTCTGTTTATGATAGAATAGTACAATAATTAATAATCGAATTCAAAAGATTTAACAATTGCATGAAATAGTAAATGAATTTGTCATTTTTTTCTAAATTACAGCGGTTATCGCTGGTAAACGCTATGTATTACCTCGATCCATATCATTCAGATAAAGTCGTTGAACAATTTTGATTTTTCAAGATCAAATATATACTAAATTTAATGAACAGGCTAGTGAAAAGAAAGACTAATTATAACCCTCGACGTTCCTGTATATTTATATGTATATATATCTTGCTTTCTCTCTCTCTTTCTCTGTCGTATAGCATATAAATACATGTAATTCGTTAATTTTATTTATTTACATCGTATAATTCAACTAACTATTGAATAGTAATTTTGCTATTAAAATAATAAGTTTAAGAAATGCCACGTAAATATGTAAAAAAATGTTAAGAAGAAATACAGTGAATATCATCTTAATTTGGCTATTGAAGCAGCGCGTACTCATTATGTACCATATAGAACTTTGAACTCTCATGTAAATAATACAGTTATGAATGATCGAATTGATCGACCAACGAAATTTTCTAAAGATGAAGAACATTATCCAGAACAAGCAGCTCTTGCTTTACAAGTACAAAACAAACTTTTTTTGAATATATTTTTAAGATTTTTTTTTTATATAAAGGAATGGGGTGTGCCTTTATCAATTGATGAATTTCTGAATCTTTCTAAACGATATGCTTTATCTTTCAATAAAAGTCATTTATTTTCAAATGGAACACCTACGTATGACTGGCTTTATTCATTTCTAAGTCGACATTCCACCCCTACTGTGAAAAAATCTCTGTCATTAGGGAAGAAACGGACAGAGTGGAGATTAAATCAAATAGATAATTGATTTTAGTTATAGTATAAAATTATTCAAGAAAATAGTTTGTCAAACTCACCTGCTCAAATATTTAATTGTGACGAATCAGGCAAACTTAATATATTGTTCATATAATGATTCTTTTCATACTTTAGTCTGATTTTAGGAATGTCTGTTTTATAAAGTGAAGGAGATGTATAAAAAAGCACATAAAGTAATGGAAGATGGAATCAAATCACATTTACAATCTGACAGTGAAGAAACGGATTCTAATGACAATGGGAAAAATGTGAAACAATAGTTCTTTTTGTATTTTGTACTTTTTTCAAAGTTCAGTTTATATTCGGAGCAAGTAATACAAGCTCTGTTGATTAAAAGACTGATTAAAAAAACGATAGAATCAAGTAGATCGTAACGGACGCCGATTTTTCTTATCAAAGGAACTCAAAAATTAACATTTTCATGTGTTTGTGTTCATGAGCTCTATATGAAACCCCAATTCGATATCCAGATAAACTCTTTCATATTGATTAACATAATCGAAAATCTATATTCGGAGCATTTTTTTTGTTTTTCAGCAAAAAGCATGCTATATGAGATTTCTCTCTTAAAAGGCGTCGGGTCTTTCAGTGAAGCAAAATCTAGAAATTGCTTAGATACCAATATGAAGAGAACATATCGAGGTATATACTTTGCGAAACAAATGCCCTTAATTTCGTAGACTAAAGCTGGCCTAAAAAAGTATCCGGGAAGTTCACTTTTCCACGTAGGCATATGCCTTCAACTATCGTCTATTGAACCCTGAAACCACAGGTCACTATGACTTTCCATTCAAAAGTTATAAACTTTTCTTCTATTGTCCTTCTTTAAAAATTCCGATAGTAGTATTTATTTACATTATCAACAAGTAACGCTCGTCTAAGGACTCGCTTAGCTCTTTCTTGTAGAAATGGTGTTCTACAATGCTACAGGATCTTTTGCTTATATAACTTGCAAACACTAACATCAAATTCGTGTTCTCCAACCTCAAAAAAACCGTTTCGTCAAATCTTATATCAAAAAAAACTTGTAAAAAAATGGTCCCTTGTCTAAAAAAAAATTTTTTTTAAAGAATTTGAAAAAGCTAACATCAAATTCAAAGTCCTCGCATTGAAATACCTCTAGAAATGTCTTTTTTGAAAAATTGGTCTTCGATGTTTTTTTGACCCTGCGGACACAGTAGCAATCAAGCTGACAGCTTATGTTTGCAAGACTCTTCTCTACGAGAAAGAGAATAGTATTATGTGATATCCTATAAACAATATTTATGATGAAAAAAATTAGTTTACGTACAAGAAATAGAATTATGATAAAAAAATTATTTTCAATTTCAAAAACATTAGTTCATATTTTTTTCGCATTATAAACAAAAAGTACATTTCTAAAAATGTACTGAAAGTGCGTACTTTTCTTTCAGTTCCTACAATCGTGTAATGCTTCGATTTTATACGTCGAGTACTGCAAATATATAATATATCGGTCATGGTTGCTGACTGTGACGAATTGTGAGTGACTGCCTATGTCTTTCGACATGATGGTGTCTTGTGTCATCTGCACAATCACAATTGTGCCTTTCCTTTATTTAACACAACTTATATAGGGATGGTTACACAAAGAGAGAGAAGGTTAGTGATAGGTGGAGACGGTCATGATATAGATTAGGTGAAGCATAACGGTCAATACCATTACACTGACGACGAAAAGACAAGCAGAAGAGAAAGAAAAAAAAATGCTTTGTCACTAGCAATGATAAGACGCACTAGTGCATAATGACGATGCAAAAAAAATATATATAAATAGTAGTGTAAAGTAAAAGAAAAATATTATTATTTATACTACCATTTAGAAAATTTCTATCAATTTCGTACTTCATCCAACTTCACACTTTGATTATATTATACTCTATTAACTATGACTTCCACGCAGTAAGTATACATGTATATATTATTCTAAAATAAAAACTTTGAAAGATAAATACAAACAAGATTCATAAAATTGAATACTAAAAATTATCTTATTTTCTTCTTTTTATTATTTATCATATCTAATTCTATGTTAGAACTGCTTCTAATACGACATCACCTATTTCAATTGCTGCAAAAGCATATGCTGTTGATAGTGAATCTACTCCATTTAAATTGTTTAATTTGGAACGACGTATGCCTGCAGCTGATGATGTCGTTATTCGTATTCATTATTGTGGTATTTGCCATACGGATATTCATCAAGTATACAATGAATGGCACAGTTCAAAATATCCTATGGTACCAGGTCATGAAATCACTGGTATTGTAGAACAAGTTGGTTCAAGTGTCAAACATTTTCGTGTGGGTGATACTGCTGGTGTCGGTTGTATGGTTGATTCGTGTCGCAAATGTCATCTTTGTAATTATCTTCTATTCTAACAATTATTGTTTTTTTTCTATATTCAAACTATTTAGGTAAAAAGGACGCTGAACAAAATTGTGCTGATTCATGTTTAACATATAATAGTACTGAACTTGATAAAGTAACACCAACATATGGAGGTAAATATTATTTTATAAATATTATAACTATTTCGATTTTATTTTTATAGGCTATTCCAATATAATTACTGTTAAAGAACATTTTGTTTGCAAAATTCCTAAAAATTTACCATTAGATGCAGCAGCACCATTACTCTGTGCTGGTATTACACTTTATTCACCATTACGACGTTACAAGGCCGACAAAAATACACGATTAGCGTATTTATTTGATACTGTTTTTAATTATATGAGATGTTAATTTTATATTTTAGAATTGTTGGTCTTGGTGGTTTGGGTCATATAGGGGTTAAACTGGGCGCAGCTATGGATGCTCATGTTACCGTCATTTCAACTTCCGAATCGAAACGTGATGATGCAATGAAACTTGGCGCTAAAGCATTTCTTGTTTCAAAAGATAACGAACAAATGAAAGCAGCTGAGAATTCAATAGATTTGATTATTGATACAGTATCAGCTCCACATGATGTCGCACCTTTAATTAATTTGTTAAAATTTGAAGGCGTCTATTGCGCGTATGTATTACGTTTATTGTATATTATACATTTAAAATAATTTATTTCATATTTAGAATTGGAGCACCAACAAAACCTCTTGAAATTGGAGCATTTACTCTTCTAACAAAACGACCGACAATTACTGGTAGTTTAATTGGTGGAATGAAAGAAACTCAAGAAATGCTTGATTTTTGTGGTAAACATAATATTACATGTGATATTGAAAAGATTGAAGCAACACCAGAAACAATTAAAGCAGCTTATGATCGAACAGTCAAAGCGGATGTAAAATATCGTTTTGTTCTTGATATTTTAAATGCATTTAAATAATTATTTGTTTTCATCTGTACCTTATCAAAATAACTTTATATAACTATGTAGTTTTTCATATGAATAAATAATCCTGCTGATTCGCAAAAAGAATCTCTTCTGTTACATGAAATATCTTTTGAAAATATAGGATAAAAACATCTTATTGTTATTCTTTTCATAGTTCAATGATTGTTTGCATAAATATAACAACCCTCATCTGCATTCACATTCATAATCTTCTTGTTTATATAAATTTACAATGTAATAATGATCACCTGTTTTGTATGATATATTTTAATATGAATAAAATATCGTTTGTAAATAATTTCAACTTTTTTACACATCAATTTAAATGAACATCAAGCAAAATACACATTATTGAGTATAGATATATTAAGAGTAGGACGATAATTGTCATGCATGAATGCATTGTATAGAGAACGAAATCGTTGTACCTTGATTTTTATTTTATATTCAGAGTTGATGATCAGCACTTGTATATCATATTTTTTCATAAATATGAAATATGATGCTTAGTTCTTACGCTATATTCGTTTTTATTCAGCAAAAACAAACGGTTAGTTTATTCATAAAACTAATAATAAATATTTTATTGTACATTAAATTTAAATATATACACAGACTGTTCGGTTTATAACAAAAAAATATAATAAGTTGTAATTTGTTTTAGATGTCTCAGCAGACAAAATGTACCAACCAATCTACATCTGATCAATGATTCTTCAATAAATATTCGGTTGTAACAAAACTTCAACGGATGATACACAATTTGTCTATTTAATTTTGTAATGGTTACAATTCGGTTTGTTTTTGACAGACTTTTTCAGTATCACTATGTCACAATTTTTAAGCAATAAATCCAATCGTATCTGGAATTCATCAATTATATTTTCTTTACCTATCTTCGTTATCAACCACTAATATAGATTGTTACATCAATCTTACAATTTGTCATAGTTCGATGATATTGTTTTTCGATTGGTATCTTTGTCAGAAACTCATTCTTCTAAATGTCATTGTAATTTTTTCTATGTATATCGTTTATATATGCCTTGTTTTCTTTCTAACCCAAAAGAATACAACTCTGGTCCGGAAGAAAAATAAATAGCTATAGTGTTTTTATACTATAGTGTGTTCGACTCTTTCATTACGCGGTTCTTTTTATTATGATGGATTTTTTGTTTTTCGTTCCAAAATAGTCTCAAATAAATTTTATTAACATATGAAAGTATTCAAAAATGTTTCAAAGTATAATAGTCTTGAAAACAAACATTACACTGATAGCGTGTATCGATACGCTTTTGCTCACATCTACTTGTATGACTACAAACTATACAAGATCTTCGTGCAATATTTCCTGTTAGATTTCATGAGAATCAATAGTATAGAATCGAAATTTTATTTATACGAGAGCGTCTGTAGAAAGAGAAAAGACATAGAATTTATTAGAACGTGATTGAATATCAAAAGCCGGCATGTTAGAACACAATAGAGATAATATATATGAATACTGATACGCAGTCATCACGCAATACTATTGTTAGGATAAGAGAAACACATAGCAGTTCTTTTGATAAAGTCTAAATGACATTATATTGAAGATAATATCTACAAAAGTTCAATGCTCATATATGAGTCATCTGTAACCAAAGGGTTAGTTATTGAACTATACGTGAATAAAAATAAATACAAACAAAAGTAGCGAATTGAATAGTTCAGTAGCAAATGATTATCTTTGTCTATTCATTTAAATATCACGTTTACGTTTTTATTGCATTGCTATTGTTCGTTTATGAATTTAATCAGTTAAATAACTATTGAAATAATTGAATTTGATGAATGTGGGATTATTCTCATTAACCAACGATAAAATAATTAAAAATCGTATTTTTTATCTAATAAATAAATCTTATACAGGCAGAATAAATTTCTTATATGCAGTTCAATAATATATGTGTAGTCAAAATTAAGGTTGTACACTATCCTGTCGTTGATAAAATGAAATTATCTCGTAGGATGAAGAACTTGACTATATAATCATTTTCTATAACATTTATTATCGTAATAGTATTTCAAATCATATTAATCTTTGCCTGAAAAAATATGTTTATGTATAACGTATACATTTTTTATGTAGACTAAAAATATGAGTACGAAACGGATGTCGCTCATGTCCGATGTCGACTATTATGGGGCGTTTATAATTGGTTGATTTTAATCAGTTATGTATATCTCAAGGGCGACATACTTCTTTTTTTTTCTTGTTTATTCTATCTTATCTCATAAGGCAAGTGGAACAGTAAAATATGAGCGAAAAAATTCAAATAAGTAAAACTAAAGATGTATCGGATGAAGCTCATCAGGTATTAATAGTTGATGGAAGTGACGTTCAAACAAAGGTTGGTCATGTTGCAAAATTTCATCCAAGTGGAGAACAAAATATTGTAGTTGATGAAATAGTTCAATATAAAAAACCGAAAGAAAATAATGAATTTATTGGATTAACTGCTGAGGTATTCTTTTTTTTCCAAAAACTCATAATTGAACAAATAATAAAAAATGTTTTTTTCTTCTTCTATTCAAAAGGAATTAAAAGCATATATAAATGATCCAAAATGGAAACGTATTCGTTTAATAATTGCATTATTATATATTTTATTACTTATAGCACTTCTAATTGGTTCAATTCTTTTAATTATATACACTCAACGTTGTCCACCGAAACCTGTACTTGAATGGTATCAAAAAGATATTATTTATGAAATTGATGTATCAACATTTCGCGATTCGAATGGTGATGGAATTGGAGATATTAAAGGTTTTATTTAATATACTCAAAAAAGAAACAGTAATATTTATAAATAATTTTCTTCTTTTAGGTATTCAAGAAAAATTACCTTATTTTGAAAAAAATAATATTAAATCAATTCTTTTACAATCATCAATATTCAATGTCTCAGGTGGTACATCAATTAAATTAGATGGACAAATTCCTCATGATAAAAATATCGATTTAAAGGTAGTTGATCCAAATGTTGGAGGCGATAATGATTTACAAGAATTAGCAAAAATTCTTAATCGAAAAGGTTTTTATTTGAAATTTATACTCTATTTTATTTAAAATATCTTGTTTTGTTTACTATAAATAGATATGCGTTTGATAATTGATTTACCATTAGCATCGACACACGATCCCAATGGTGTTTTATGGTATGGTTCTTTATCTCTTCCTTCAAAAATCGAAGTAATTTATTATTTTCAATTAAATGAGAAAGTAAAAATTTTTCTGTTTAGCAACCATGTCGTGGAGGAACTGATAATCTTGGTTGTCAGTATTTGACATCATATGGTCGATTACCACTTGATTTTAACCAAGAGGAAGTATCCTCGGCAGCAGACGTAATATTTCATTTTACTAAAGAAAATATTTGTTTATTTTTTCTTCAAATATTTATTTAGGATCGTATTCGTTATTGGTTATCAACCAAGAAAATTGATGGAATTCGTGTTAATCTTCCACTTGAATATAATCAACAAACTCGTTTATATACCATCTCATATCGTACAATTAAACATTGGTCTGAAATTAAAACTGAAATTGAAAAAGCAGCTAAACCAAAGTAAATCATTAATTCTTTTTTTTAAAAACATGCAAAAAGTTTGCTTTTAAGATTATTTTTATTTGATATACCATTTGGTTTACAACGTTCAATTGAAACTGATGATTTACACAATAAAACCGCACATTCATTATTTTTATTAGATCCATCACAAAGATCAAATATCAATGCTGAGTCATTGAATACAAGAATACAATCATTTGAGAATAATAATAGACCTAAACCACAATTTTGGCAGGTTAATTAAAATAGAAAAAAATTATTTTCTTTTTGCAAAAAAAATGTTTCTAATTTTTTTAGTTAGGATCAATACGAAAAAGTGATGATATTGGTACTATCAATGAAAATCAATTATCAAAAGAAATGATTTTAACTATGGGTATGTTATTTGGTGGAACACCAATTATACTTTATGGAGAAGAAATTGGTCTTGATCAAGTAAGAAATAAAATGATATATCATCTTTTTTTTTCCTATAAGAATATTTTGCATAGAAATCTACACCTTTAATGTCATGGACATCTGATAGTGTAACCGGAGGATTTTGTGCACGAAATGCAGCAGATTGTGAAAATCATTTGAAAAATAATTATAAAATAGCTAAAACAAGTGTTAAAGTAAATATTGAAATCTCTTAGTAAAAAGAACTAATGAATTATTTTTTTTTCTCATAGCGTCAAGAAGCATTAGGTGGTGTAAAGAGAGATTCCTTATTAACTGTTTTTCGTCATTTGGCTAAATTACGTCAACAAGAATCATTTCAATTTGGTGTATTAGAAACAGGTTTTCATGCCGATTCAAATTCATTTTGGTTTATAAGAGAAGCACCTGGTCATCGAGGATATGTTGTAAGAATATATATTATTTTAATAAATATCATATTTATTTATTTTTTTCATAAAAGGTTTTATTCAATTTAAAGAAACAAAAAGAGGGTATTGCTCATATATCATTACGCGAATTAACAGAACATGATGTACCACATCATGTTCATTATGAATATCAATGGCCAACTGCATATTTACCAACATCAAACGATACTCATATTGATTCGGATAATTTACTAATTCATCCTCAATCAATTAATATATTTTGGTGGACAGCAAAACTTATTAAACCAAATGTTTTATTTAAAAATGCAAAAGAACATACACACACGCATTAATTATTTAAACAATATCTTTAATGATGAACTAATACATCATATAATTTTTAGTGCTCCTTTTTTTCCCCCCGCAATAATAATATGCTTATCTTTGTCATGCTTCTATTAATCTTCTAATCGAATAGAGAAAATAGTTTCACGAAATAATTCCGCAGAATTGGAATCCGTTTTTTCCTCCATGAAAAAATGTTCTAAAGAATGAATAAAAAATTTTATTTTTCTTCAGATAAATGAATGAAGAAAATCTTGATGATGATGTTATTTATATTCTTGATCAATTAGTCGAACAAATACATGAAGAAAATGAATATATTCATCAATGTGATGATTGTTCAATAGTTGATTCTTGTGTAAAACGTCAAAATCGACCTGAACGAGGACGAACAATAACAACAGATGCAAATCTTAATTTATATTTATGTGATAATTGTGCAGAAAAACGTCATCATGATGCTCAAAAAGTTTTAGAAGATTTAGAATCATTAGCACATGAAGTTGAACAACGTTTACAAGCAATTGAAAATACAGAAAGAGAATTAGATCAATGGAGAGATGCACAATTACAAAAAAATCGAGATTTTTGGGATGGTAAATATTTTAAATCTAATATATAAGATACAATAGTCGCTTGAAAAACGAACACTATAATCGTCAGTTTGACTAACATGTTTTGTAAAAATAGAAAACTATAAGTTCGCAATTTTTTTAATCCAGTAGTGGATCTAGGATTTTGGAAGGGAGGGTCGATTTTTGAGTACAATCGAAGTAGTGCGAACACATTTTTGCTGTAAAAAATCAAAAAAAATTTCGAAGAGAGGGCGACCGCTCCCATCGCCCACCCCTAAATCCACTACTGTTTTAATCATGTGCAACGAACACGTACCATTAATAATGACTGTAGTACAAGGAATTGATATTTGCCGTTTATATCTCTACGAACATAATAGAAAATACTATGGTAGTGCTAAAAAATCGATTTCTTCTGCTGCAATCATTGTAAATTGCATTGTACAGCTGTCACACATTTCAGTCTCATCTAAGAACGTAGCCATTACTCCAAGACAAAACTTCGTACAATATACTTTTTTGACTTCAATTCTTATCATAATCAGATAGTTCTTCTGAAACATATCTGATGATTGAAAAATCCTTGTAAATAAGATCTTATTTTTATGAAATAACTAATTAGATTTCGAGAAAGATAATCTAAGAATGAATAAAATTTTGATATGTATATATTTTTTCTTTAGAATATCGTCGTCAAGTTGAAAATTTTTCTGCATGTCGTATTCGTACATTACAATATGAATATACAATGAGACAATTGAAAACTCAACGTATTATGAAACGTCTTAAACGAGCAAAATATATTGGTGAACATATTGATAAATTACGTGATGAATTAATTCATTTATTTCAACCATCATTTGTTGATTTAATATCATCTGAACAATTTCAACATCAATTTTCATTATTTTTATCGACAAATGATGAAAATTCTACAAGTGAACAACGAAAAGAATTTTTAGAACAAATTGAACAATTATCATGTTTAGATAAAATAATTATACCAGGAGATCAATTTGGTATTGATGATGAAATTAAAGATGATATTGAAGAATAATCTCATTCACTCTTCTTCTTTTTTTTTTAATTTAATTTATTTGACGAATATGAAATAACAGATTTTTTTAAGATTCACAATATACTTATTGTTTTTTTTTGTTATCAAATATTTACATTTGATAATTATTGAGTGGATATAATTGTGATATGAAATAAATACTTTGACCTTCACCTATGTCTTCAAATACCATATAATATGAAAAAAGTTTTAATTTTGTATGATTAATATTCGATGATTGTAATTTTCACGTGTATGATATACATTTGTTTTTTGAGTACATCCTATAAAAAAAATAATAATAATCAGTGAAGTAGAGCAAGCAAATCATACCAAATATATTTCGATACTTTATATATTTTGTTGTCATTATAGTTTTAACTGTAATATAACCAATACTTGAAAAATGTTTGTAATAGTATTATTAATGTTTTTCATCATATGTCTTTTAATTTTATTCTATCGAATACGTTTACAATGGTATTTAGCATATAAACAGAATTTACCAAATCTTAATGCCGAACAAATTTATCATCATTTATGTTGTTATGAATTTCCTTTTGAATGTTTTTATGGTATTAATCTGGCATTTTATCGTACATTTGTTTCGCCTACTATATCAAAAGATTATAGACAAACAAATACAATTGCTGGTGAAACAGAAAAACGTGTTAATGATACAGATATATTAATGCATGCTTGGGTTGATTATGGTCTAGATAGTGATGAGGGACAAGCTAGTATCGAACATTTAAATAATATACATGGTGTATTTAGTAATCGAACACGTAATGAAGATTTCGTTTATGTCTTATGTTGTTTTATTGTTGATACAATACGTATGATTGATGTATTTGGTTGGAGACAGTTAGATAATACTGAAAAACAAGCTTTATTTATTTTTTATGAAAAAGTTGGACAAAAAATGAATTTAAAAAATTTACCAACATCTTTAGAAGATGTATATATACTTGTTAATGATTATACAAATAGTGATATTAGTGCAACAGAAACAGAATCTGGATCTATATTAACAAATGCTATTCATATACTTGTTCAAAAATGGTATGGATTACTTTTACCAGCTTCGATTATACGAATTCTTCTTAATGGGCTTCTTTATGTGGTTGGTGGTGAAATGTTTCATAAAAAACTTGGATTAAAACAACCATCATCATTAACACTCTATATAATATATGCATTAGGTACTCTTCATCGAGATTTTATGCATTTTATGCCACCACGAATCGTACCACATAGACTTTCTGATCTACTTATGAAACAAAATTATATGTGTCCAGCAGGAAAATCTAATTTTTTACAAGTTGGACCACCTGAAATTCTCACATCAGTAGAACAAAAAGAAAAACAATAATATTTTCATTAAAATCATTTTTTATTATATAAATATAATAAATATTAATAAAGAATCGTAACAATTATTTACTTTTGAAATAAAACTTTGAGTAGTAAAGCTATAGATGGCGAATATGTCTTGAAATCCGGAAAATTTCTGATATCGTTCTAACAGAAGAGAATGATAATATTCTTTCATAAATATTTATGGTTGTCTACGTCGACCATGATTATCGTCTACTTAACTGTGCTCTGCACTTCTATTAGCAAATATACACAGACGTGCACCTTGAGAGTGTGGGTGTTGTATCCATACTTTATCCATATCCTTACCTTCTAGCGAAAATCAAAACACTTGCCAATAGAAATGTGACAGTTCCATTTCGAAAGAACTAAGCCTGAGCTTTCATAATCCTACGTGCCAAATATTTCGAGGGCGATTAGCATCTCGTGTGACTTTCTTTATTGGTAGCTAGTAAAAAGTGAACTACGTCATCTCTCTTCAAATCAAATGATCTTTCTTCTTTCTTGTACATGCTTCTTTGTTAAAAAACTATTGAATCTTTTTTAAAAATTTTCCGGATTTCGAGACAATACCTAGATGGTGACGCAAGATAACAAACTAGCCTACGTCTATCTTGTTTTATGAACTGATGTTGTTTTGTATTGCGATTATTATTCATATTTGAAAAAAAAAAATAGAACAGAATGGAAGTATTCGAAAAATCTATTTCAAAAGTTCTCTGTTGACCGATGCTGACGGTGTTTTTTGTCTGTATGATAATATTTCGTTCCATTTTGAACATTGGAAGTCTTTTCTTTTGATACAACATATCGATATTTGTTTTCTTTAGAATAGTATTGTAGTTCATTATCAACGGTGAAAGTCGGTGCTGTTGGTGAAAATAGCTCTTGCTTATTGCTTTGTTCATTGGTATGTTGCGTTTGCATTATAAAGATCATTTCACTTAATTTTGATTCGAATTCTCTTGCTGATGATTTTAAAAATTTCAATGTTTCCGAACCGAAATTGCCTTTCAACGTAATGAATTTGTATCTGAGTAATAAGAAAAGCCAAATCAAACGGATTAAAGCTACAATTTGTATTAAAATACCAACGACCAAGACTGCATAATCGAGAATATGTATTGGTATATTTTTCCAAAAAATTGATGAAATAAGGCCAATGATAAACAATATTACACCAATAATAAAATTGTATCGACTGGGACGTGTTTCGTCAATACGAGATATCGACTTTAATCTGATAGCAGAGTAATGAGACTGATGACAACAACACAGAAATGTTTCCTTCCAACGAATCAGTAAACGCAAATTAGTAAGAATACAAGTAGTTTTCACCGAATTACAACATTCAGTATATTCATATTTTCCAACAATATTTTCACCATATGGCAAATTGGAAAAAATAGTATCTGCATCCATTATTAATCTAAAAAGCGAACAAAAATCATAAATTTGAATCAATGACTACAAGTATTGTGTATGCCTAACTATATTTCAACGGTATAAAATCGGAATAGGCAATAATTCTAATAACTAACTGTTGTCTCGTTACTACTCTAGTCTTCTACTACTTTCAACACAATACTGTCGAGATAAAGTTAAAGTTTGTTGAAGGAATATGCTTTCTGATGATAACAGTTGCCTCTGCTAATAGATGAGTTTCTTTTTGCTTCACCATTTGTAAAGATAATTTGTTATCATAAGTGAAAACTATTGGAAGAGCAGTTACTGTGTGTCTCGCAACTTCTATTATCATTACTATGCGACAAAAAAAAGCAAACAGTCGGGTGTGAGCGCAAGTCGTAGCTACCAGTTATACATCCTCTATTGGTTATATATCGAACGTTGGCAGAGGGTGAGAATTGAATAAATAGCTCAGAGCTCATGAAGAACGTTGTGTAGACATTCACTAAATCTAAGTTGTTGTTTTAAACTAAATTTGAGATAAACGAAATAATTGGGATTTTCAGCTTATTAGAACAACTAAGATAAGAGTGTTACTTTATCTTTATCTTATAAATAAAGAAATAAAGTAAATCTTTATATTCATAAAATAAAGATAAAGATAATCTTTATTTGCAAAAATAAAGTTAAAATAAAGGATAAAGATATATTTTTTCATGCAGTAAGTAGATATGCAAATACCCTGTATAACAACAGAATATATTTATTAATGCTCTTTTTTATCATCATCATCATTTCCATATGCCATATTATCGGAAAAAAAAGGATCACATAAGAAACGATATATACGAAAAATGCTATTCCATATTATAGTTAACTATATAGTATTATATTTTTTTTATTAGCTACTCTAACGAAATAAAAAAGTACGTTTCGATAGAAAAAACAACTTTATTCTTTATCTTATAAAGATTAAAGATAAAGTAACACGCCTAAACTCAGATTCTCAATCGAGAATTTGTTAGTGATTATGTGGGAGTTGTATCAAGATGTTCTAATGTGGATACGAGTGTATGATCAAGACAACATTAAATATGCTCACACTCCGCCCAGTCTTCAACATATCCATTTGGAATAGTATTGTATTGTAATAAAAATATTTATTTTACCGATACGAATGATCAAATTATTTTTTCCGACCGCAATGAAACTTGATAAATTTGTGGATATTTTTGTCATAGCATCTTCACATATACGGAAGTTTTCAATTGATTTATGAAAACTAACAGAAATATTCTAAATTGTATTCACAAACTTTGTCGTAATATTGTTCTTCGCATGACAATGATGTTATTAATGAAACTGTTTAAATAGTCAAAACTTCTGTTCTGCTGTATGCAACAAAAGTTTAATAGTATTGTGAAAAGTTCTTCTGTACTGTTCTGTCATTGTGATAACTCGTTTATTTTATATTAATTTAGTAGATATGAACATTTTGCATCGTTTTTAAGATCAATGGATGAGAGATAATGCAAATGTAGATAAACTATGAATATAATATTCTTACACTCAAAATAGTTTACTTGAGCTGTAATAAAAATATTCGGATTTTTTCCCGTCAAGTGACTTATGTGTTACCTTGAACACATAATTAATTTACTAAAAAAAAACTTCAGAAGTTAAAGCCAAGATAACTTCATTGAATAGCTTAAAAATAATGTCTCATAATTAAACTAGATAGAATTAATAAAATCGTACTTTGACGCACTAAAATAGATTATTATTAGATCGTCTATAGATGAACATTTTTCAAGGACTTCTGCAATATTCATTTGAAAGCCGTTGTATTGTATGTCAAAATGTAGAAATATTTTCTAGATTATATATATATAGTTCAATTGACAAACAAATTTATTTATGGGCAGATAACATCGATTCATTTTTGTAGTTTCTCGAATATTCTATAGAGAAAAAAAAGTTGTAATAATGCTTTAAAAATAGTATTAAGTCGTTAAAATTTTACACATGACTTACTCAATAATAAAAAAAAAATAGACTATTCAATTCATCTATTCATTTTCTCAAATATGAACGCAACATTATTCACATCATCAATGTCATCTATTAACAATTCTATTGACGAGGGAAGGTCCCCAAGTGTGAATCTCAGTTTTTAACGGGATATATCCCAGTTTGTAGAGCTCGACGAGCTGAGTCTCGTGGTATAGTTTGTTTTTGCCCATAGACCACTTTTCAAAGATTTGACTGATCGAACTACATAAAATATCATATGTTTTGATATGTATTTTGTTGATTTCGACAAGATATATCAGACAAATCTGTAACACTAATGACATATTTGAAATCAGCGCAAAAAACTGAGTCGAATAGGC